GATCTTATTCTTTTGGTCCATTAGCTATACAAATGAGTTTCAAATTACACTCACGTGCACACACACAAAAATCAGTGTGGCCTTCAGCATAAATTATTTGAGTTGATGGATGTGCGCAAACTTGTACCTGAGAAAAGTCATCTCATCTAAATATACAGGAAATAGGCCATAAACGCAAGTTTCTTTTCAGCAAAAGAGAATTATGAAACTACACGTTGGAATACTGCCTGTATTTCTTGTCATGTTTCAGGAAAGTATAACTGTAAAAAAGAAATAAGTACAATAAAAAGCTTAATATAGTTTCATAAGACAACTAAAATAGAAGAGCCTGGCCATGCTGGGGTGATGGGAACTTGGAGAGGCACAAAAGTTAACATTTTCGCCTTGTACATCACCAAGGACTACTGTGACCTCCAAACATAAAGATATTACACTGAATAAATCACTGTGCTGCCATTCATTCTTTAATGTCCTTTTTGTTGTCCTTTCAACTTTCTTTTACCTGCAGATTGCTGAGACACCAACAGTTAAAAACTTCCTGGAGTACTCTACTAGGAGAAAAAATGCGGTGACACTAAACCAGAAAAGAAGGCTGATAGCAGAGGCAATAATGAGTTTTGTATAGATAAAGGGATAGAATATGAGTGACAGAAAGATATTATGCATTTCCATTGAGAAGAGGAAAATAGGGAAGGTCAAATCTGAGAAGGGTGCCCTATGGACTTAGAAGCACAAGAATGATTTTTTTCAGTGGAATAGTGTTTGAAAATTATAGATACTCTGCTAGGCAAGTTTTTCTTATAATGCTGTAGTGCTGTAGGTACAGTACTGCCCTGGAAAAGGAATAGTCTTTCAGTGACCTTTTCCAGACCATGATTAAAATTCAGTTTACCAGTTTTCTCATTACCTGTCAAGATATGTGTAAAATAATGATTCAATGCTAATCTGACTTGACTTTCTTATCCTGGGAATTTATATAGTTCTTCATGGTGAAAAAAAAATCAAAAGAGATAGATAATCTTGATAGTCTCCTATGCAACAGAGCTGCTGGTTTCATTTAAATGGAAATGTGCATTTTCATGGAAATTCAGGCTTGTATTGATGAACAAAGATAAGCTGCTACTACTAAATAGAATAATGACATACAAAGAAGTGTTCTAGAAATTGCATATAAAAATAGTGAATTTTACAATAAAGGATAAAGAGATTTTAAGACTACCTATTTATCTACCTATCTAAACATTTATATTGATAAATTAGATTTTCTAATGTTTTGTGGTGGAAAAATTTGGATGGTTACAAAGCTGAAAATCCTACAGAGAGGTTGTGCAAAATAGGTTGAATACAAATATCTCTGATGAGTGACTTTTTCATTTTTTAATGAAAAAATTAATGAGTATGTTGTCTTTTTCAGTATTAGCTATGTAATAAACATTGTTTTGTGAATGTATTAAAAATATCATAGGTTTAATATATCATTTATCATGGCCTTAATAAATTAATGTGGTTATTTTTATATTAACTTTTTATAACTCATTTATATTTATTGTATACTGGGCCTTCCAACTAGAAGCTTGGAAAGAACTTGCAACTGTTTCCATGCCAAAAATAGCATCCAAGTCTTGTGGATTTTTGCTTGGTAATGAATTGCAGATTCATGTACTCCATTCTAATCCCTAGGTTAGGGTTTCAATCCTGCCTGAATGTCTTTCTTTCTACCCCACCTCAGCCAAGTATCTATAGTGCCACTTAGCTCAATTAATTTATATATTCAAGGGAACTATCTGATGTACCCTGGTGATGTGACAAGGAGTACAGGAAACAGCCAATCGGTGGAGCAAAAAGAAACTAGGGACAATATAAGTTTCCTTAAAGCTGGGCAACTAACCAGTTTGCAAACTCATATGAGATGTTCCATAACTAATTTGTCTACAATTTTCTACAAAATTTTTCTACACTTTTTCTGAGTCCCAATGATGTTGGGCTTCAGAAAATGACATCTCAAATATGTCACTTTTGAGGACAGACTGAAGGACGCTAGTGGGGCCTCAGCAGGGCTTTCCTGTCTCCCACCCTCTTCTTCCTGAAGCAATTCACGGAAACCAGAATTCTTCTTTCCCAAAGTGAGTCAGAGAAAGTAGATGCGCTACTTTAACATTTTCCTGCTTTTCCACACATGCACAGACCATATAGAAATTCTCTTGCCTCCCCTGGCTGATAGTAGATCATGAGTCTCATTTTAAAGGGTTTTTATCTCATATCCATGAGCAGGGAGTGAATGCTACACAGTGAGGCCAAGAAGAATGTGAACAGATAGATAAGCCTTGCAGGACTCCCCTTCAGTCTTTATCATTATGTCACACTCCTTTGTCCAGTCACATTTCTATGTAGCTGCTGACAAGCTTTTATCAAAAATAAGCTTTCATTAGTAGTTTTCCCTAGGTCTTTCAGTCTTCATTTCTGAAGGCTTTCCGGATCTGTAAAACTTTGATTAAGTAAATGTGTTATGCTTTTCTCTTGTTAATTGGTCTTCTGCTACATGAAAGTTTGCTGTGACCCTTATGATGGGTCAGCCAATTCCACCTTTATTCTGGACAATACTTTCTCCACACTGCTGCTGTGGGAAATGTGCACACACTCACTAGTTTTTTTGTTGGTTTCTCACAAATGTTTTAGAATAAAACAACCTGAACGAGTTAATCACTGTTGGGTATTGCCAGAAAGAGGAACATTAGGCTACAACAGCATTGTCTCAGAAAGCACTTCCATTTTCACACTTTTCTAAACATGGGTAGGAAAAGGATCCTTACCATATTGTTTGAAAGGTGAAGTAGTCCAGGAGGAGCAAAGAAATAAAATAGACACTAATACATAAGATTGACCAAATAAGAAAAATGAGAAAAATCCACTACAGTTGAAATTTAGATAACAACTAGAATGTGATATTAAAATAGCCTCATTAGTAGTTATTGCTTGCTTTGTCACTGTTAGAGACTTCTTTTTAGAGAAAAATTTACACTTTGGTTAGGAAAAAAATCCCAAATACTGAGGAAAGTTTTAATTTCCTCATACTGTTTAAACTTCAGATACTTGACTTTATCTGTCAACATTATGATTTCACACACTGACATTTAATTTATGCACAAAAGGGTACAACCAAAAATGATTCTATGGTGTCTATGTGTGAATTGAATAATGCAGACATATCGTGCAGTGTGCTATAGAAGTTATTCAACCTCTTCTCTATTCTTCAGTTGTCCAAATAGAACAAACCCCTACACTAAATGAATATAATGCATTCACTATTTGCAATTATGCCTATTGATGTGCTTTTTGCTCAGCAGAAGAGAGAATCTGGTTCTATTCCAGATTCTTAGTCTTCTAGATAAGAAAGCCTCTTTGCTTTGTACAGGACCCTTGTGCTAGTTGCCGGCCACTTCTGTGATGATCCACTGTGCACAGAGAATGGAATGAGGTCAGGAAGAACTCTCTCTAAATATCCCTAGAATTCTTGAGGTAGGGTTGGTATTCTGTGTACCTGAGAAATGGGTTTAGCTTCTTCACCATATAACCAGTAGAGTTACACCCACCTTTGATTTTGGAGGAGCCCTACATTGGGTTTAATGCTCTGTTGTCACCATCTTAAAATTCTTAAACATTTTTTATCAAGGTATTGTCTTTTCATTTTGCATTAGGCTCTGAAAATTATACAGATTGGCCATCTATGGAACAGGGGTTGGAAAGGGACAAATGGTAATAAGACACTTTCTTTTTTTTTTTTTTTTTTGCAAAGATGTGATAACTGACTGCAACAGCTATGCTGCAACAACCATCACTATATTCTCTTCCAAGGATCACACATTCACTGCATCTATAAGAAACCTATAACCTCTTCAGGACCTAGACTCCCTCTCTATTTTAGGAAAACATGCTTCCTCACCCCAGCCTGCTGCCTTTTTAGCTGCATACATGCTGCCTTGTCAGTGATTGTAGATAAGTGTGTCTATACAATGAGTCTGAATCACTGAGATGTTAATGGATATGTTTGCAGTTTTCAGTTTATTGTCTGAAAGACAGACTGAACTCTTTCTCAGTTTCTCCTATGGACTAGATGGCAGATGTGCTGGTGACTCAGCTCTGCCCCTTCCAAGGAGGAAGGT